ACTTCCGCACCCATTTACTGCTACTGATATCTTCAGATGTGGTTTAATTTTATTTGGTATACTTTGCTTTATTGTAACTAAGCAAGAAAGAGAATTAGCGTTTTATCTAGATTAGAACTGCCAGTTGCAACTGATTTTCTTACTCAATGACTTTGAAATCTAGTTAGGACAAATCAGTAATATTGTTTGGTGCTCCCTGGTTTATGCAAAAGTCACATTTTGTATTGGACTAATTTCAAGCCTCAACAGGTTGAATAATAGTAGCATTTACGTAGCATGAGCGAATTTATTTCCCAAAAGATTGTACAATCCCTCCACAGGACAATATTGGAATGACTGAAGAACATTGAATGTGGTATCCTCCGTGGTTCAGTTCTTAAGTCAATCCTTTTATGTGTTTTTCGAATGATATTAGTGAGATAGACAGCTGAGGAATATTTACTATATTTGCAGATTACACTAAGTTAATGCGGTATGAAAATAATATTGAACTTCTGAAAGCATCTCCAAGGACTTTGAAAAGGTTAAACTATGTTAGGTTTCAAATTTACTTTGTTTTAATATCGAGAAAACCAATATATTCAAATTCATTCATAATAATCTAGGCAGCCACAATAAATCATAAACAACATTTTTAGATATATATTCAGGTGATACAATAGATGTTTGAAAACCATAAGAAACTTTGATAAAAAAAACTGTTATCATTTTAACTGGTATGGTATTGATTTTTTGAATGAAACAACTGATGTACATTTGCAAAAGTAAGCCGAGAGCATTCTGCGAACCTCTTTTTATCAAACATAGAATATTTAAAATATGTGATGGAATTAGATGTTACTGGATTAAAATCCATAAAGCATTAGAGAATGAACACGCCTAAGGATGTTATTGTTCCCCAAATGACTAAATCTATATGTCAACCATCATATTGCCTACTTAGCACCGAAAACTCACAACAGCCTACTTGATGAAATAAAACAAGTCACCTCCCACACATTGTTTAAGAACAAATTAAAACAATTAATTCGTGATTCTCCGAGATCCCTTATTAACGATATGATTGAAGGAAGAAAATGAAAGCATGATTACGATCCTATTTGCAACTATTACTTTAGCGTCTTAAATTCTGTAATGAGTTTTTTTACCCCATATATAAGATACATGTGAGTGTATATATGTATAAAAGATTTCAAGATTAAATTATTTTATCTTAGATTCATTGTACTTCTTTACTTTTATATTAATCTCGGAACAATTATTGAGTCACTTATCGAGAACGGTCGTTTTTTATTTCCTTAAATTTAATATTTTTTGTATCTTGGATAAGGTCTGCACAATACACCAGACCAAAATAATAATAGCTAATCAAAGAGCCTATAATATGCGTCAAAATGCCAATATGTCTCTTCCCAAAGCTACCACGTCTTTAACGTTATATTTGAAAGCAAAAGCATTTATACCGTTTACTTACCTGAATGTTATGAATGAAATGAGTGCTTCATATTGTAATGTTATGAACAAAGGTGCTGAGGAGGTAATAAGACAAGTGTGTTATTCCGAAACTTTGAAGTACGCCCTTAGGGATGACAAGGTTCCATATAAGAGAAATTTTATATCGTAACCCTTTCATATATTATATTGTGTAGCGTTCTTATGAAAGATGTGTGATTCAATTCCATAAGAAATTTTCTTATTAGTGGACTATGCTTGAATACTGGCAGTAAACAAATCTAAAGAAATGAACTTTAAACGTTCAAACCAGTCTCTGATATACCTACACAGTAGGTTGAACGGGCTGACGCCTATAAGAAAACAACTACTTCCCTGGTTAATACCACGAAGGGCGTTGGATTATATCCGACAGGCGTCAGTGCAGGAATCTTCACAGAAAATTTCCTGCATATGCAATTGGCAATACAACTGAAAGAGTCGACCTTCAATTTTGGAACGGGCACACTTGCAGACCGGTTTCGGGCTCATTAGCCAC